ATCCACAGAGCTCCAGTAGGAAGGCAATATCATATACAACCAGACTTCTTTCACGCAAGTCATTTAATGGCTCTTCTTATTTGGCTTTTGTGGGAAAGATTAGAGCTGTTCACTGATTACTTAAGCAGGACTACAGGACATTTTTGGCAAAGGTTCAGGTAGGTCTGGCACATCATTAAACACAGCTTTTCACAGTCCTGAGACTTGAGTAGATCCCTGGTTCTGCTCCTATATGGTGCACCCAAGTGCCTGCCTCACCAGGCCTGGCCTCTGCTCCCACCCACTCTCTCTGGAATCCTTCCTGTCCCCAGGCAAGAGGAGACCCACTGCTTCTCCCTCCAGTTATTCATGGCACTGGTGCCAGATTTCACTGTCAGCTCTTGAGGAAAATGATCACTTCTCTCCAAAGTCCCGGTCCTTACCTGGGGAAGCAGACATGTCAGTGATCCACCTTTGACACTGTTTCTGGTTGACATGCAAATGCATTTCCTTCTTTAAAAAGTTACCTTCAGACTTCCTTAACTAGCATTCATTGAACAGTTTTCTATGCTAGGAAATGATGGCTGGCTGGGAACAAGATACAAGCCTGACGTGGTCTTGCCCCCCACAGGAGTTTAAATCTAGCCAAGAAGGTTTGTAGACAATTGACAATGTCCATAGGGCCCAGCAGGGACCCCTTTGCAGTTGACCTTTGAACAACTTGGGTTTGAAAATTCAGGTCTATTTATTTTTTTAATAAATATGTTGGAAAATTCTTTGGAAATTTGCAACAATTTAAAAATATTTTTTCTTTTCTCTATTGTAAGAATGTAGTGTATAATACATATAACAGACAAAGTATGTGCTAATCAACTGTTTATGTTATTGGTAAGGCTTCTAGTCAACAGTACACTATTTTATTAGTTAAGTTTTAGGGGAATCAAAAGTTATATGAGAATTTTTGGGTGTGTGGAGTCAAGGGAGTCAAAGCCCTTAACCTCTGCATTGCTCAAGAGTCAGCTGTAATGGTTTCAAATCAAGATTCATGATTTCCTTAGCCAAGCAAGTCAGAGCCAGGTGAGAAGGTGCCAGGCTGAGAAAGCTGGGGTGCAGAGCCTTCTGCCTAGGTGGGCTCCTTCCTTCCATGGCAGTATCACAGTCTGCAAGCTGAGGGCTTCTTTGGGTCCCACGTGTTTGCAGTCCTACCCTTCTAATTAGGATCATGCCTCATCTTTACCAAACATTGCTCTCTGTAGCACCTTGCAAAATGCTTTTCCTTTGCATCACCATTTCAGCACCTTCTGCTGCAGGTACTATAGTTTTTCCCATGTATTCTGTGATGCCCCAGACCATCCAGGATTTTCATATGACTTCACTGAAACTCTCAGTCTCTCTTATCAAGACCTCTTTTTTTTCCCTCAATATTAATACTTATAAGAGTGCATTGTTGACTCTTACGTTCTGATTCTAATGACTTACATATTCTAGCCAAGTGAATTCCAGTGTTTTCTAGAAATGAATTAAGGTGTAAAGTTTGTGAATTTAAGGAAATATACCATTAACACTGTTGTCAAGTGCAACAAAATAAATGTATATTTGTATAATAAATAACTTCTAACCAAACAACAACCACAGGACAGTGAATCAGACCATTCCTCACCACGAAGAGTTACCCAGCCCAAATGTCAACAGTTCAGCACTGAGAAACCCTGCTCTAGCCATCTTCTAGGTTTGCCATGAGTTGGTTGAACCTCAAAGAAAGGACACTTGCCAGATAACTAGTCATAGCAAAGACTGAATTAGAACCTAGACCTGCTGATATTTAGACTAATGTATTCCCATTATGAGGAACTTAATTTTGAATTTTCACATGATATATAGTATTACAGTAACACAATTCACAGGTATTGTGTGTTGATTAAAGTAGCCCCCCCCTTATCCCTGGGGGAGAGTTCTAAGACCCCCCAGTGGATCCCTGAAACCACAGATAACACTGAACTCCCTACATAGTATGCATTTTCCTATACATACATACCTGTGATAAAGTTTCCTTTATAAATCAGGCACAGTAAGAGATTAACAAGACTAATCATAAAACAGAACTATTATAACAATTCCCAGAATAAAAGTTATGTGACTATAGCGTCACTCTCTCTGTCAAAATATCTTATTGTGCTGTACTCATCTTTCTTCTTGTGATGATGTGAGATAATAAGATGCCTGTGTGATGAGATGAAGTGAGGGGCCCGATGTGAGCGTGGTGACGCAGCCCTGCAGGACTATTGGCCTGACAGTTTGTCAGAAAGATGATTATCTGCTTCCTGTCCAGGGTTGACTGGGGGAAGCAAACCATGGAAAGAACAGCCCTGGATAAGGGGAACAACTGTACTTCTACAGAGAAAATACCTTCAGCATAAACCCCTCCACTCTCCTTTGCACCAGGCATATTCTCTGATTGTCTAAAATCCTTCTTTTTCCTCCTCATATTAGTAGTTTATTCCATATCTAAATCCTCATGCCCTAGTTTTCTTAAGTCTTCATTTTTCCATATCTGTAGAGATGTGTCCAACAGCAATTGAATAAATAACTCTTAAACTGTCCCCTAAACACACCAAGAAGGCATATGAGTATAAAATAGACTTTCTCTCAGTGCAAAGGACACAATTTAAAGTATTTTTCTGGTGAGCTAGATGTGAGGATGTAAGGCAATGTGTGAAGATCATAAAATCAGTCCTTACCTTATCAGTCTGTCTCTCACTGGGATCAGCAGCCCAAATGCCAATTCCTCAGGCATTTATAAGCTTTTTAAAAACAACTTAATAACTCCTCCTCACTGAAAGGTATAAAGTTCAGGTAGGGAAAAACCACTCCCACAGTGTTCTGGGGCCATGTATTCCACGGTAGATTAGAAGGAAAATGACAAGTCATTCTCCTATTATGAAACACTGGTTAATATATTCCTTTTCAAGGTTGGCAATTAAAAGATTAAACCAAACATTTCAGATTGATTGGACCCTCTTTGGCAGTCAGGGTCACTGGCTTTTTGAAGAAAATTACTGTTTCATGAGTTGGAGACGTAGACTAAGGCAGATGAAGTTCCTCTATGGTGAGCATGGCGAGGAGCCGATGTCAGTAAAGGGCAAGTAGATCTCTGGAATATTTTAATATTGAGTTGCAGATAAAACATAGGACACCCAAGTAAATGTGAATTTTAGATACATACTAAATGTTTAGAATATACATTGTATAGAACAGACATTAAAAATTATTTATTGTTTATCTGAATTGCAAATGCACACTTAACTGGCTGTCTTATATTTTATCTGCTAAAGCCGGTGACTCAATTTGTGTACTTTTTCCACTCTGCCATATTCAAATCAGCCTTCCTGACCTCTGGGCCATTGCACATGCCATTTGTTCTCTTGGAAATACTCTACCTTGAGCTACTAATATATACTAATATATATTTCCACCTACAACCTCCACTACCATGAGATTGTTCTGAAGCATATCCTAGACAACATATCAGAAATTCATCTATCAGAAGTTTAGTATGTTAATTTCTAAAAGTAAAGGACTCTTTTTTAATAAACATACTGTTCTCCAATCACAATAAATGTCTGTACTTCTTTAATTTCATTAAATTTTCAGCATTCTGATTTCTTTAAGTATCTCATGAAGGTTTCTTTGCAGCTGGTGTATTTGCATCAGAATCTGGGCAGGGGCCATACACAGCATTGAAGTGATGTGAATAAATACATGTTGAAGACCTGGGTGAATGAACAGATGAGAGTGTGGGGGAATGTGAGGAATTCCCAGAGCCCAGACTCACACCCTAGGTCCTCGTGGAGTGCATGGACTTGTGCAATTTAGACCCTTTCCGAGGAGCGCTGGGCGTGCACAGGGCCATGCCGCACACCAGGAGCCCTCAGGCCAGGGAGGCAGGCACAATGGCCTCCAGGTTTCTGGCTGGTTTGCAGGGCTGTGTGGGAGGCCGATGAGAGCCCGAGGGCCCGGGAAGCAGCACCAAGGTGAGGAGCTCAGCGTGGCCAGGTGGGAAGGAGCCCAACACATAGGGTGGCAGACCTTTCCAGGCAGGAGGCAAGGGACCTTGCCATGCCCAGCTGGGGCACTGGGCTGGAGAGCAGGTGTGGGGAGGAATCCAGGCAGGCAATGGAGTCACTGAAGGAGTTAAGGGAAGTTTTGTTCAGATGTGCATTTTAGGAAAGCCACTCGGGTTGAAGGTAGAGAACAGGCTGGGGTGAGGGGAAGCTGTAGTCACTGGGCCCAGCCCACTAACTGCGGGGAAGCTCACTCTATGGGAGGGAGAATTATATGCCAAAGTTCAGATTCTCTGGGAGTGTTCATTACTGGCCATCCCTGTATGAGGCTAAATCACTTTCAATCCAGATAATCTGGCCCAGTGACAGGCCAGGGGAAAAGGGACTGTGTATGTATTCATTGACATATAATTTGTGCATATCATCTGTCCCCAGGTCTAAGGGACACTGAGTGAACCAAGAGTGAGGCTCATGCCCAGAGCCTAGCAGAACATCATGGCAGAGCGCTGATGTACCAAGGTGGTCATGGGCTGTAAGGGACCACAGACTCACCTGAGAGCACAGATTGGGTCTGTTCTCGTCATTATTCCCCCACCTTCTAGAACACGAGAGACTCCATAGTAGATGTAATAACTGTTCAAAAATGCATACAAAGAAGACCATTTTTATTATCAGATGGAAAATGCCTGTCAAAGAAAGAGAGAAATTTTCTTTCTATCATTACTTAGAAAGGTAGCCAGTTTCCTGTGAATACATGAGACTGTCAGATAGAATTTCTACACTTGACTCTTTCATAGGCTATGGGACAGACGTTATAAGACAATTCCTAGGAAAGATCAAGGAGACCATATAATATGTGTTCCCCCTTTTATTTAATTTTTAACTCCTAGCAGTTTCCTGTGACATTGAAAATCTGATATCATATTAGTTCTTAAGGAAAAAGAATAAACGGCAATGAAGTCTTCTCATAGGAATTTTATTATTTAGGTAACAACTAAAACTTGGGAATAGTTCATTGGTCTCACAATAGCCAGGATCTACATGTAGGTAACAAATTTCAGTGTTGGACAAATTCAAAAGATGGGTCCTGAGGGTGCTGGACAGCCAGGCCTGCTTTATTTCAACCTGAAAATTTTCTTTGCTTTCTCTAAACTTTTTTCATCCACGGGAGGCTTCCTCTGCCCGCCAGGCTGCAGGAACTTCTTCACAGTAGGGAGATTGCTGATTCTGCTTTTCAGGGCCTATAATGCACAAGAGCAGAGTCTCTGAGGGGAGACAAAGACCAGCCCAGCAGGAGCACCACCCGGGCATCTGGAGACCCCCGTACACAAGGACCAGCTGGGTCCCCTCCCCCAGCACCAGAATGAGGCTCCCAGCGAGGAGGGAAGGCAGGAGGAAGAAAATACAGCTCAGTACCATTTTCCCCAAAACTTATTTGTTTCCAACTTTATCCAGCTTAAAGCCATCCCTGTTTTCTGCCCTGCCCACGAATCCTGTACATTCATTGCTCCTGGACAATGCAAGAAACAGCCAAGCGTCTGTCAAGTCAACACAAATAAAGTCTCTCAACTTAGAAACTGAGCTGAAACTGAAGGCAGAAAACACAAAAGGCAAACCACAGGGCCGGTGAAAACTGCCTTGTCCACTGAGAGAGATATGGGGAGAGAGGGGAGCCTGGACAGACAGGAGCCCAGTGTCTGAGAGAAGGAACAGGAGCAGATGGGAGGCAGCCAGAAGGAAGGAGACCTGCTCACACGGACTCAGGGGTGGAAGGAGAAGGACACACCTGGGGTAAAGGGAATCCCAGAGGAAACGAGGACAGAGACCGTCAGGGAGCAGGCGCTTGGCAGGGAAATGCCAAGTGCTGAGTCCTTCTGATTTGCAAAAGTCAACTTATTCTCCCTGGAAAAGCATCCACCTGAGATCTCCTTGGCATAACAGGATTCTTTTCAAGCCTCCCCAGAGCCTAGGAGCTGATTTTGGAGACCTGGGGGCAGTGGAGGCCTGGACAGTGATGCAGACCCAAGAGTCCAAATACCAGATTCCAAGACAGGCCACGTGGGCCTTCCCTCTGGAGGCTGCGACTGACCTTCAGCAGTGGGAAGCCGACCAGGAGGCTGGGGTCAAACTCTTCCACGTAGTAGAGAAGTTCAACCAGGTGCACGTCAGCCTTGCTCAGCCTGTTGCCCACAAGGTAGTCTTGTCCGTGGCTCTTTAACACCTGGCGAATCGGAGGCATGAGATGGTGGGCACAGGCCCAGCCAGGCTGGGTCCCCCTGCTCCTCCCGCATCTCCCCAGCCTGACATCTGCCCCTCTGCTGCCGCCCTGAGTGAGGGGAGGGTGTGGGGCTTCAGACCCCCCGCACCACCCTGATCGGGGAGACGGGGAGAAGTGGGTCACTGCTGCTCTTCCCTCACTCCTCAGTCGAAGAGCAGGGCCCCATTTCCTGCTCCCACGCCACTGTGGGTCCCTCACCTGCGTCTCCCCTAGGCCGTGGGCTTAGCTCCTGCTCTGGATGTTTCTGTCTAGGACATGTACTGTTTGAAGATATCTACTATGGGAAAGGATGGAATTCTATTTTCTCAGTCCCGCACTACTTTCCTCTAAAGTCTGCCCACAGATTTGTAGATTACTTTTAACTTAACCTCCCCTCATCTGTCTCTTCTTCCCACCCCACTTTCCCCTCTCTGTTTAGATGTATGTCATGAATCCCCAAAGCACTACTGCATTCTCCTGAAAGGCAGCTGATCCTGTCTGCCTACACCTATTGTCAGGATATTTTTTGATGTATTATTATCATCATGTTCCTTCTGGGCAAAAGGCTCCGGCACGGTGCCCTGCAGGACCTGCTCCAATCTCTAGTGTGCCTCTCAGAGCCTTCCACAGCCCAAGCTCTGATGATCACCATGCACGCTTGCCCAATGGAGAATTCTTTTCTAGGTCCCCATAAGCTGGTATTTTACTGACAAATAATGAGTTGGACGTAACTGGTACAATTCTTCCTCATAGTCGATTTTGATTAAAGGCTTTGAGAGTCAAGTTTCCACATTAGCATTTAGGAAAGCTCACTGGAAGTGACGGTCAGTGCCCCAAGAATGCCAAGGCACTCGCTTTGGTTCTTGTCCTCTAAGCGCAGTGCCCCAGATGCCAAACAGCCCACTTACATTTTCAAACACAGGGAGATAGCGATTTGTTGTTTTCTCTTTGATCTGGGCAATCTTGGCATCTTTTTCATTCGGTGGACATATTGGCAAAAGCATGATCATTTCATTTATATCTGCTATACCTTCTGCATACATATCAATGCTGGAAGACAAAAGTGACCAGATTGTTCCATGGTTCCTGCCATAGATTTTACATTTAAAAGGGTAAAAGAATGGGGCATCAGGAGGTAGCAAAGTAATTCCCCTCCCCTGGGTGCCATTTTTACGTGCTGTACGTCGAGCTTTTATTTTTTACTTGACCTTAACCTTTCATTCCAAAATAGCTATTGAGGTAGATCTACGACTGAAATATTCATTACACACGTTAACAAATACCATGGGGCAGAGTGCATCAGCAACCTTGCCAGGGTCACCTGGCATGAGAGAACTTGGTGGCATCACTGCCAGTAACCACTGAGATTATACCTCGGGTTTGCCATCTCTGCCCTGGATTGATCTGTGCACAAATGTAGTGTGGTTCATAGGCTGAGCCCTGCCCCCAGGCATCACTGGAGTGTCCGGGGCACAGCCATCTGGGTCAGGTCCTCTCCCTCCCTCATCCTGTCACACCACCCAGGAGCATTTATATGTCCGGTACTAGCAGCTCTTCCAATTGTTTACCACCAAACACGGTTCTACAACCCTGTCCCAGGACTGTTACCCAACTCTGGCCTTGTTTGCATTTCTCAAGACTTCCACTTAAAATATCCCCTGAAATGGTGCATATTAGGAGGGACATTTTTTCTTTAGTTCCAAATTGAGTTTTCTACAGTACTCATAAAACTACTGGTTTGAGTGAAATATATTCACATAACTTAATCATCACCCTACTATTCAGTATTTTCAGTACATTCTGGAACCATCATCATATTCTAATTCCTGAACATTTTTCATCACCCCAAAAAGAAACCATTGCTGTTGACAGTCACTTCCCATTTCTTTCCTGCTTCAGCCTCACACAACCACTTAACACTGAATTAATTTCTGTTTTGATGGATTTGAATGTCTGGACATTGGAATCACAACCTGTGACCGTTAGCTTCTGGTTTCTTTTATGCAACATAATGTTTTCAAGGTGTACCCATGTTTTAGCATGCATCATTACTTCATTCCTCTTCATGGCCAGATAATATTCTGTTGCTGGCCAGATGATGTGTTCTTCACTTCTGAGCATGAAGAACAATGCTGCTATGAACTTTTATGTGCAAGTTTTAATATGGATGTAGTTTTGATTCTCTTGGGTGTACACCAGCAGGATTGCTGACTCAAAAGGTAACACCGTGTTTCACTTTCTCAGTAACTGCCAGCAGCTCCTTACAAAACATGAATTTCAATCACGAAGTCCCATCGCACCAGAGAGGAGATCCCCACATAGAGTTGTACTGACTAAATTTGGCTGCTTCAGACTTGTATCAAAATATCCCTGGTCACCCTGGCTTCTTGAGGACCAGCCTCTGCTAACCCTTATCAAGTGGCCGGCACCTGTAACTGCCTGGTAAGTCAGGTTCCTGGTCGCCCCTCTTACAGTTTCTGGAACTTGAGAAGCAGCTCCCTCGGATCCTTCTCCTCCCCAGCATTAGCTTCTAGAAACTCAGACACTTTGTCTCTGTCCCTAGCTGCGGGCTGGCATCCAGCCCCTAAAGGCCTGAGTCCTTGGGGTCATGATGCCACCATCCCCCTGCTCCTTACAAAGCCACACTCACCTGACTCCACCCCAAGCTTACTAGTCCCTCATCGTCACAGGTCTCCACTCTTCTGACCTCAGTTATGTCACCAAGGTCATGATCTCTACAAGCAACGTAATGCTCACTCAGAGAAAAAACTTAATTGTTTCTGTAATCATTGATGAAATAACAGAAAATATACCGTACAAGGCTCTCTCCTTTATGTCCTTCCCATACAGGTTGTATTTGGTGGCAATGTAGTTGAGAATGGCTCTGGTCTGTACCAGCTTCATTCCATCAATTTCAACCATTGGCACTTGCTGGAACATCAAACTCCCATCTTTTCAAAGAAGAAGGAAGAAAGTAGAGAGAAATATTGTGTGGATCGCATGCTTTTAGGATAAAAAGAAATGTTTTTTGAAATAGCTGGAGATATGAAATTATCTGGTAACTTTAACAAAATGGCATTATGTTTTTAGCTCCCCAGAGTTTCCTTGTTTTTCCCACAGATCTGCCTTTTACTTTTTAACCTTGTATTTGGTTTATATTTTTGTTTCCCATCCAGAACTTAGGAGTTCCCTGAGAATGTTGTGTCAGTTTGCCTTCATAGATATTTTAAGAAGTAGTTGGAAGAGGCAGCAACAGGGCCACCAGCCAGATGCCAACAGAAAGGCAGCTCCAGAGTAACTCTGGTGGCATTCATGGCATTTAGGGCACGTGATGAGGGAGACTGCTATGCGGGGTCTCTTTCCCTGCCCTTCCCATTCTGCAATATTCATTGCCAGGACATTACTTTGCAATAACCTGTATAAGAAAAGAACTCACGGCAACCACTGGGCCTTTCTCTACCTCTGGACTATAATGCAGGTGTTGGAGCGTCCTGGGGCAGGCAGGCTCTGGATCCTGACCTGACACAGCTCACTCAGAGTGAGAGAGGCAGGAGAAAGCAAAGAGAGGGTGCTCCCCACGCCAGGGGACGGCACCCTTAGCAAACCCTCAGAGCCCTTCCTAGCCCCCAGGGACTTGGAAGACCTGCTCAAGGGGTCCTGCCTCTCAAGTCTGAATCACTTTCTCCCTCCCCACAGCCCCCGATGCCCAGTGTACACACACCATCATCATTGCCTGGTCTCAAAATGTCAACTTGTGACTTTACCAGATACTGTCATTAGAGGCATTTTAGATATGTGGTCTTACCATTTCTTAACTTGTCAAGGTCTTCTGGAGTTTCTATAAATTTCTCTTCAAACTGGGAAGCAGAAATAGTAAATAAGTTCCTGTTATTTCATTCCATTGCATTACAGAATTTTAAACTCCAATGGCCTCTGTCTGGTATGTAATAATGTGATATGGAGAAAGTAAGGCTTCTGGGTTTGGCAGGTACCTAGAGAAGTGTGAACACAGCCACGTGGATGTTTAGATACGACCATCAAGAATAGCGCGTGAGTTGCGGCACACAACAGCTCATGCTTGTTGGAACGATTCACCTCCACCTGTTTCCACCCTTGTTGATGATTAAGTTATGATTTGGGAGGGAGATGTCAGTGTAGAGAAGGAAGTGGGAAATTCTTCCAGTTATCAAGTTTAATGCCTGAGGAAAGCCTGTCTCCCTGTGAGAGACAAGGACAGGACATGGGGAAACTCTATGGGGCCAGTGACCACCTAAGATGCTGCCATCAGGGTCACTGCTGCCATATAAATCATCCCATTCCATTTTACATTTTAAACAGGGTTCTGTATATTAAAAGTTTGGAAAGTTGGTAGTTTCTAAGTTGCTCAATGGAACGCTTTATTGTGTTTTTACATAATCCCACAGGGAGCCCATGGATCGTAAGGTGTATGGGCAGCAATTTATAAAGCACTCCATTCAATATAAACATCAGGGAAGGTGGATGGTGTTCATGGGAAGGTGGCCAGGTGGCATGTGTGGGCCACTGTGATATTGCTCGTGAGGCTGACGGAGATGGACGGGATGGTGAGCAGCGGGTGTCTGGGCACAGAGAACCCAGGCGTCCTGACCTAAGGCTTCTGGCAAGTCTTTCCCCGCCTGCCCCTTCAGTGAGGCTGGATTGCTTAGGGGGGACCTGGGGTGCTCTCAGCATTGCCCCTCCCTCACCCTGCTGTGCCCAGCTACTCTGCCCAGAGACTCTGAGCACAGCCCCACATCCCAAAGCTGAGGTCAGGCCTACAGCAAAAACAAGTTATTGGTTTATAGGGAGAAAACAACCCAGGGTCGCACTGTCTGGATTTTTTTTTATGTTTCTTCATGACCTTGAGAAGGGACCGGGCTGAAGTCCCATGCACTCCTGACGCCATTGAGAAAGTGTGGCCCCACGGCTTCCAGGGCTGAAGGGAGCACTCTGGACAGTTCCCCCTCCGGACACCTCCTCACCTGAAAACCACCTGTATTGCTCTCACCTGAGGGACAAGGTCGCTTGATTTGTCCATGATTCCCTTCTCATCATTTCATCCCATTTTTTATTTTAAGCACAATTCTTTATGGTAAAAGTTTGGGGATTTGGAGGTTTCTGACTTGCTCAATGGAACAGTCTTGTGGGTGTACATGTTCCCACAGGGCCAGGCTGTACAGATGGTGAGGTGAAAACCCCCCGAGATGCCGGGTCCCTGTGTTGGGACTGACAAGTGGTGCTCCCAGTGGCCCCCCCGACCACCGAGGGCAGCGCTCAGCAGAGTCCCACAAAAACACACCAGGGTTTCCACTGGGAACACAGCAGCGCAACACAGTGAAATGCTTGGGTGCCCTCCCAGGCGCCCCCACCCCTCCTTTAAACCCCTAGCTCCTTGTCTGCCTCGGCACTGGAACATGAGCTGCCTGAGGGCAGGGCCGTGTCCGCCTTGCTCATCCGTGTATGCCCAGGGCCCAGCACAGAGACTGAACTTAAAGGCACTAAAAAAATCACTGCCGAGTGGATGTATTAAATCTTCAACAGGCAGTTTGTCACAGACCACTCCTCCCCTTAGTTGTGAGCTTTAATTTAGTTACATTTGTTTTCTCATGTATTGTATTTGCATCTTTTCATTATGGAAAGTTCTAGCATGCAGAAAAACAAGCAGAATACCATAATGATCCTCCTTGTACCCAGCCTCAATAATTACCAACTCAAGCCAATCTCATGTCATCTATTCACTTACCTACTGCCCCGCTTGTAAAATTGAAATAAAAATTTAGATATTGTATCATTTTATCCTTAAATACTTCATTTACATTTCTAAAATATAAGTTTTTTGAAAATTACCACAATAGTATACCTAAACTCACACCTAAAAAATTAACCATAATTCTCCAATACCACGTAGTATTCAATGAATAATCAAGTTTCTAATTATGTCCTAAGTGATATTTACAGTTTGTTGAAGTCTGTATGAAGTCCATGCATTTTTATCAGTTGCCATTTCTGTTTGCTTCTTTACATTTTTTTAAATTGATTATGTGCTCTATCCTGGGCAGGATCATTTAAATTTCATTTTGTCAGCTCAATCTATTTCTTTCTTATTATGCAGATATTCTTATTTAAGGCAAAACCATTCACATGACCTCTAGTATGGAGTCTGCTCGGTTATGAGAGAAAAGTTACTTTGATACAGGACTTTTCCATCCCGCTTAAGATGACCTGACTTAGACCCCTACCTCTACTCCCGCCGCAGCCAGGAGCCACCCGATGGACTCCATTCTGCCTCGTCCGTTGAAGTAGTGAAGCGTGGGCTTCCCCACCATCATGCAGGCTCCTGGTTTCTCCAAACCTGAATGAATGAGTGAACAAATGAGCCGCAGAAGGAAACTGTGCTGTGCGAAGTGCGCTGGAACAGAAGGGTGGAGGTGACCCACAGAGGTCTCCCTTGGCTTAAATTCTCACTCACCAGTGTCCATCAGCATGAAATTGCACCAAACCACTCTCAGGTTGCCATTTGTCCTCACTGTGAGGACATAAGTAGGCAGCCTTGATCGCACCCAGCCCGGGCCCTGGGAGCCTGCGTGGAGCCTGGGATCCAGAGGCCTTCCCTGACAGGGAGGCGGCGGAGGGAGAGGAGTCAGTGCCCGGCCCTTTGCTGCCCTGCTGCACTCGTTCAAAAGCATCACCTGGATCTATGTCCTGTGCTGGCTGCTGCCAAAGCCTTCTAAACTCTCTCCACAGAAGAGGATGCTCAGTCCTTTTTTCTGTTGGATTTCTCTGTTTTTCCACTGCTGGGTGAATTTTGTTTTACAATGTAGAGAAAGGGGATGGTAGTGCATTACCTTTGTAGTATGGAAAGGAACTAACACATGTTTAAGTATCTCTAACATAATGGTCATTTTCTCATTTTTATCCCCATTTTATCCTCATAAAAATTACTTGTGTTTGATTCCGGTGTTATCCTAAGTTTACACTTGGGGATTTTGAAGTCTATAGAGGCCAAGTGACCAGCTAAAATAATGGATGAACCTCGCATTCAAACATGCACTTATTTGACACCCACGTCACAGTTTCTCTATACCGGTGTTTTGCCACCCAGGGTTTGTGACCTATTAATGGAGTGAGTATGATATCAACACAGTGGGTTCTGACCAGCATTTTTCAATTATAATACAATAGTAAACATCAGAATGCGTCATATACAGTCAGAGTATTTTGGGGTAAACTTTAATTTGAACTTACATTTCTGTTTGTGTGTGTGTGTGTCCATATGTGATGGTGTGCTCTGGAGACGTACAATACATTTGACTGGGACCAACCGAGGAAGCCTGGCGGCTGTATTCGCAGGCTTGTCGGTACTCCTGACACTTGGAGCCGGGCAGTCCTTTGGGGTGGAGGCAGGCCTGCTCATTGGAGAACATTTACTTAGCAGCACCCCCAGCCTCTTCCCACGAGATGCCAGTAGCACAGTGCTCCCCTCCCTGGCATGACAGGGACAAACACTACCCCTGGTCAAGAGCCATGGCTCTATCCAGAGCTGCTTGGGACAGCAGCTCGTGGATGGGAGGAGCCAAAGAGTACTCCTTATACAATGAATGGGCAGGTTCAGCAATGGTGCTGGGCAAGTTTTATCAGTGATGTGAACACAAAGGCAGGATTCATTGAAAAGCAAGGATTCGATTGCCTTGACTTAGGGAGGGACAACCTAGGGCCCATTTTTCATCACCTGTCCTCTGTTCAGAAAATATTTTTTGATGTTTTTTCAAGATTCTGCAGTTGTTGAATTTTTAGCACAAATGCATTTGTCTTTGCATAGAAGTTGTATTTTTTAAAGGTATGTGAATCCTAAAATTTTATGTCCCAGGAATTTAAATGTTCCAGAGGATCTTTATTTATTTATTTCTCTTCTTGGACACGTGTCTCTGGTTGACATGTCATGCGTTTCCTCTTTGATAAGTTTCATTCAAACTTCCTCAACGAACATTCAGTGAGTAGTTTTATGTACCAAGCGATAATGGCTGTCAGGCAGCAAGAAAGAACTCTGATTTGTTCCCTGCCCTACAGGGGCTCCATTCTAGTCAGAAAAACAGGCTTGTAGAAAACTGAGATTCTGAGGCTTTGCTGCATAAAACCTATTTCCTTCTCTGTCTGGTGGTGATTCTCCCAGGATACTACTGACTGTCATTGTGTTGCATCCCACTAGGTTACTTCATGTGCCTCCAAAAAACTCATTCTATGCTCTCTGATGTATCTAGCTCTCCCCTGCCCAGTTATAGAGCTAGAAGGCCTCTGAGAAGTTAGCTTCTCACTGCACCCCAGAAAGAATGCATGATTTGCCAGCTACCGAGTTAGTGATAAAGTCCGGATCAGATCCTAGGTCTCCTAACATTCAGAGTACTTTCTTCTATTATTTCCAGTTCCTGAATTTGCACAGCCTGCAAAGATTACAGTTTTTGTCCCCTCAGTACACTGGGGGCTCGCAGGGAGCACAGACATTTTCACAGTCCTTTCACACAGTGAGCTGCTCTGTAGGTTGCTTGCTGAAAGTCCAGTACACCTTCCACATGACATGGCATGATTAGCTATCTAAAAGGCCACGTTGCTTTGTTTTTCTTGAGATTTTCCTGTATGGTTCCCTATGTTATGATTCTGCAATGCAAGGTAATTAAATAGTAAGCTAGGATCATGGTAATGAAGTCACCAAACCTGCTCATCAAGCCCAACACTGTGCTGTTTGAACAGAATTGTCAACGTAGCAGAACTCTTTCATATAGCTGAAACACGACTATGCAAAAAATAAAAAATTGGGAACCCCTGTGGAAGGGTAGACCAGGACACTATTTAACTTGACAAATAGAGGGAATTGGCAAAGTCTCTGTTAGGAAACAGGACAGTTCAACAAAAGGGCATTATTGTTCTTAAGTTTGCCTAAGGAGTAAACTCACATGCACCTGCCTTACTATCCTAAAAGCCCTAAATATTTAGATTCACTTGAATTTTCCATCTTTTCTTCATAAGAAACCCTGCCCACTCTTTGGTCCCAAAAACACTGTATAAGGAGGAGGGAGAAGGAGAGGGAGGGAGGAAGAGGAAAAATAGTCTGCTACTTGGCCCCCAGTCACAAAGGAACTCACATAAACAAGCTAACGTACATAAAATCAGTTACGAAGGTGTAAATCAGGCTCGGATGTTTGGTTTCCCAGTGGGAGGTGCCAGTTCACTAGGCATGGAACCCCTCAGCTAGAGGGGTCCCCAGATGTGTCACCCTGACAGATTTCAATCCAGTATGATTATGTGCTGCCTCCTGTGTGAATCTCACCAATACATCATTTATAACAGTAAAAGCCACTTTAGTGTAAGCTCGTCAACTCCCCCAGCACTGAACGGCTGTCTTTTTGGGTTACCCAGAAAGATAACACTCTTGCTTTTCCCATATCTTCAAATTCTCTGTCCTGGTTTTCTAAATTCCTGATCATTGTTTTTCTTTAAAGACATGCCCTTGAGGAACTAATAAACACTGCTTGAATTGTCTCCTGAGCACACAAAGAAGGCGTAATAAGAACATAAAGTACCCAACATGAAGTAATACATTTTATCTCTTCTTCCTGAAACAGACGTGAGAAATGTATGAAGATTTGCAAGGTCAGTACTAACCTAATTAGAGTCCAGGCTGCCTCTCCGCTCAGCTCCTCGATGCCAATTCTGATGTGTATGTTAGATGCTCTGGTAATATAACAGCCCTCTCCTGCACTGGGAGGGCCCAGTAGGAAACAGCCATTCCCGCAGCTCTCCAGGCTCCACAGAGCTCCACCCAGACCAGAAAGGACGAATCAACAATGTTCCATGTAAAGGCTATCCATAACTGCACAAACAAGGGATTTCAAGTTTATTTGGCTCTCTGGCATGTCACCGGGGACTAGGTTTCTATAAATACTGTTTAGGGAGGATTTCATGAAATGGGCTACAAAGTTTATGGCAGATGAAAAAAGCTTGTGGGGAGAGAAGAGTGGGTATACCAGGGCCAGGGCAGTATCAGAAAAGAAGATAACAGAGAGAGAACAGGGAGGTAGCAATCTCAATGTACTTTTTAAAAAGGACTTGATAATGAATACCATGGCAACCCAGATGCAACGGGCAGGGGGAGTCTGGCCAAGCTTCCTCAGACCTGGGAGGGAAGACCTCCACAGCATTACGTGGGTCATTTGCAGACCCTTCTCTTCTTGACTGAACTTCAGCTTCTCCAGCCCCATGGCCTTTGCATGCATTGTTTCTTCTGCTTGAACATTCTCCCTCTTTCCTCTTAGCCATCCTCTGCTTCCTCTCATGTCACTATTTTGACCTTGTCTTTAATGTCTGCCTTCCCCCATTGGCCATAAGCTCCTTGAGGACTGGGCTGCCAAGTGTCCATGGCAGATGGCAGGCACATGGGCGGGACTTTATAAATACAAGTAATTTGTCTTTTCCTGATGGAAAATTTCTAACATACATAAATACAGAAAAAAGAGTGAAATACGCTTCAACGTACTCATCACATTGCCTTGACAATTGCCAGCAGTTGTTCAGAGCAAACCACAGACCTCGTTTTATTTCATCCACAAATCACTTAATAAACAGCTTCTAAACTTTTGGGAAATGATTCACATTCCAGAAAAATTGCAAAAGTAGTACAGAGTTCCCAAACCCGCTTCACTGGGTCTCCTCTGAGGTTAGTATCTTACATGACTGTAGGGCAAAATCAAAGCCAGGAATGTAACATTGACACAACACCATTAAGCAAACGTCAGACCTCAGATTCACCAGTGTTTCAAGCAATATCCTTTTTCTAGTCTGGGACTTTTCACTTCTTAGCTGCCATAGCTGCTGCAATCTGTGCAGTTTCTCATTCTCCCCTGATCTTGGGCCTTTGAAGAGTACCGGTCACTGATTTTATAGAATGTTCCTCCATTTGGGTCGGCCCGATATTTTCTTACAATTTGATTGAAGTTACACATTTTTTTGCAAAATACTGCAGAAGTTACGCTGTTTACTTCTCAGTGTAGCATTCCCAGACATAACATTATACAAAGGGATAATATGTCTCATTAATATTAATCTTCATCCCTGGATCAAAGTAGCATCAGCCAGGTTTGTCAGCTGTTTGGTTACTGTTTATCCTTTTGGAATTAATAAATATCTTGTTAGGAGATACTTTGTGACTGGGCAAATACTTTTTTCTAAATGAACTTTCACCCCCTAACTTTAACATCCATTCCTGATCTTACCGGCCACAAACATTACTATACTGTTGCTGTATAGCGATTTCCTCACTTCTTCTTCATGAATAATTGCAATTCTTCTGTAAGGAAGAGCTGCTACCCTTCTCATTTATGTGTTTAATTTATATATTCATTCATTCAATTATTTACTTCTATCAGTGTGGCCTTAAGGATATTTTATTCTAAGGGTTACAATCTAATACAATCACTACATATTTTGTTGCTCAAATTATTCCGATCTGAGTCTTGGGGAGCTATTTCAGGTTGGCTCCTGTGTCCTATATGACAGGCCCCCTCTTCCTGTATTTCCATGTATTTTCTATACCAAAGATGTTCTTCCGCCCCAGTACTGAAATGAGCCATTTCTCCCTGGTTTCCTTTGACTTTTGAAGGGTATTTGGAAACTAAGATGTGGGCGCTGGGTATGTTTATGGCTTCTAGAGTTTCAGTGCTCCTAGGCCCTCCCCAGCAGGAAATAAAGGTATATTTATGTAAGTATATGTATATGTATATATATTAGCCCACACATGCATTCTTCTCTATGTATTTCTGTCTCATATCTGAAGCTAAAAACCATGAGTTTGTACTGACACCTGCTATTTCAATCCAATAGATTCCTTCTTGTTTATTTTTAACTTCTTTCTGGCAGATGAAAACCTGGCTCTGATGAGCTGAAAGGTACAGCATTTACATATTCGTTCAATTCTAGTACACATAAAATAGTTTCCAAATTCCTGACTCATTCCTCTGGAAGAAACAGATTTTCTGAGCATAGTAGTTTCCTTTTTATCCTGTTATTTCTTGTTGTCATGAGCCTTTCAGTATCCAGTCAAAACGCTGTTTTCCCCAAAGCTATTTAGGTTAGTTTTTTCCTCCCCTTACATATGGTTATAATCATCATTCAGAATGTTATTAAGTCATTAGTGTTTGCATTCCTTCTTGGATTTCTGCCACATCCTGGTTGATTATAATTAATTACTTAGTTCTCAGGCTTGTGAAACTTTTCTGTGGTTCCAGATCCCAAGTTATACAAAGAAGCATCATCGGAGAAGTGTCCTGCCCTCCTCACCAGGCCCCCATGCCCATTCCTCCCTTCTCCCTCTCCTTTCTCACCCACCCCCTGGAGGTAACCAGTCTCATTCATTTCTAACTTTCCCTCCTGGCTTTTGTTCACACAACTGAGCAGATGGGTGGATTTTTCATATAACCCCTTCGGTGTTACATGAAGGGCTGCATATCACAGATACTATTTTGCACCTTTTTTTTTTCACTTAAATAGATCTGGAAATCACCCCCATCTAAGTTCATGAAGATCTTCCTAATTTTTTATAGCTGCATAGTACTCCATGTGTGAATGCATCAAAATTCATGGCACTGCTGTCCTATCTATGGACATTTAGGTTGTTTCCAATATCTTAACATTACAAACAGTGCTGTAATAAATAACATCATATATATATATACTTCTGTCTTGTTGGAGGTGTATGCTAGTATGTTTCTTTAAAATATAAGTGCTCTTTTTTCTAAAGAACCATACTGTGCAACTATAACACCAAAAATTTTCTAAAGAACCATACTGTGCAACTATAACACTAAAAATGTATAAACTCTTAATTAAATGTCCAGTATCTGTTTCCTCAATTGTCTCATGAAGGTTTCTTTGCAGCTGGTGTATTTGCATCAGAATCTGGGCAGGGGCCGTACATAGCATTGAAGTGATGTGAATAAATACATGTTGAAGACCTGGGTGAATGAACAGATGAGAGTGTGGGGGAATGTGAGGAATTCCCAGAGCCCAGACTCACACCCTAGGTCTTCGCGGGGTGCATGGACTTATGCAGTTTAGACCCATTCCAGACAGAGCACTGGGCACGCACAGGGCCACGCCGCACACCAGGAGCCCTCAGGCCAGGGAGGCAGGCACAGTGACCTCCGGGTTTCTGGCTGGTTTGCAGGGCTGTGTGGGAGGCCGAGGAGAGCCCGAGGGCCCGGGAAGCAGTACCAAAGTGAGGAGTTCCGCGTGGCCAGGTGGGAAGGAGCCCGACACGCAGGGCGGCAAACGTGCCCGGGCAGGAGGCAAGGGACTCGCCGTGCCCAGCTGGGGCACTGGGCTGGAGAGCGGGTGTGGGGAGGAATCCGGGCAGGCAACGGAGTCACTGAAGGAGTTAAGGGCAGTTTTGTTCAGATGTGCATTTTAGGAAAGCCACTCTGGTTGAAGGTCGAGAGCAGGCTGGGGGGAGGGGAAGCTGCAGTCAGGGAGACCCCCTGAGAGCTCATGGGTGGTCGAAGGGACAAGGCAGGCAGTACAGAAGAGTGTGAGCAGTTAGGAGGTACAGTCACCGTCACCTGGGTCCCATTCGGTGGGCGGGGGGTGGGGCGCGGAGAGACGTCCGAGGGCCTCCTGGCCTGCGGTTCGGGCAGGGGGCCGCCAGCCCCCAGCAGCGGGAGGCCTGACGCCAAGTGGGCATGAGGTGGCCCGGCTGGGAGGGGACAGAGGGCCCGGGCCGTGCGCCTCGCCTGAGCTGGTTTCTGTCCCCTGGGTGCCATGAGGCAGGGGGCGCCGAGGGTGTCCTGGAGGCAGGAGGGACGATCTCAGAACCCGGGTCTGTCCCCCTCAGGCGGGCCTGCTCGGGGTATCCCCTGCTCCGGAGCCAGCCCAGGGGCAGCAGCTCCCACCCTTTCTCCCTGGGCCACCATTCCCACCCGCTTCTCCGGGAGGCAGCCAGAGGCCTGACAAGTCCCCTGCGGGGAGGCCACAAGATTCAGCTGATGTCAGAAATGGACTCCAAGGGCAGGTGTCCAGGAAGGGCTCTGTGCCCAGGTCTTTCTCCGGGATGTGTGAGCCTCAAACATCTGCCTTCTGGATGTGCCCACCTGACTGTCCCCCAGGCAACTCAGACTGAGCAAATCCCAGCAAAAATCGGGTTTTGAGTCTCAGAGATGGATGCTACCGATCCACACCGCGGCACCACACCCGAAAACGCCCTCATCCCTGGCTCCTCTCTCCCCTGCAAATCTCCCCATTTCCTCCTCACTCTGGCCCCAGTCGAGCTGCTTCTCTCTGCACCCCCAACCCCATGTGGGCTGCCGTCATCTCTTGCACAATTTCCACACAGCATCCTGTACATGGGACTCTGTGTCCCAAGGAAGAAAGGATGCAGGGTTATCTTTAACTTAATACACCTGGTCTTTCATTTCACCCTCCCGCCACAGTTGCAGGTCTCGCTGGTCTTTGTCTTTTCCTTGAAGTATAACCAACATATAATTATATACTCGTTTCATGTGCACAGCATAGTGGTTCGATATACGTGTATATTGAGAAATGATCACCACAGTAACCCAGCCATCACCATGCATGGTTCACATTTTTTTTCTTTTATGAGAACTTATAAGATTTACTCTCTTAACAACTTTCAACTGTACAGTACAGTATTATTAACTACAGGCACCACGCTGTACTTCACATCCCCAGGACTTGTTTATCTTATACGTGGAAGTTGGTACCCTTAGACCAC